CCAGATGCTATATCTTTTGACAGCCAGGCACCATCAGCTTTCTTCACCACATTTGCTTATGCACACGTTTGTCTTCAGTGATAATATCAGGAAGGTGGGCACCCACTGGTATATTTTTAGTTCTTTGATGTCTGATAGCTGGTCCCTTCTACACCTCGAAAATATTAATAACACTGACAAACTACTGGCAAACATAACAAGGTAGAAGATGAATATCATACAAATAAATGACATGGGCAATGACACAATAGAATCAACTGAAATAAAAAGATAATAGCAAAATACTATAAAGAAGAGTATTGAAACAAATTATAAAACCTAGTATGGACAAAATCTTTCAAAATAAAATATCTACCTAAGATAACATAGACTGAAATAATACGTTTTAAAAAATGAGCAGAACTATAACAACAGAAGAAAATGATCGGGTAATTTTAAACTCCCACTAAAAATGAATTTGGTGAGCAGCTATCTAAAGTTCAACTATTAGTTTTTCTTCATCCAGAGGAAAGAAAATGGTGAAAATAGAAAGACTTATTTCTAACTAAACAGTTAGTCTGATTGAAAAATGAACCTCCATGGCCCTGAGACCAGAAGAACCAGATGATTCTTTGAACTGCTACCAACTGCTCTCAAAATGATCCTATTAGAGAATATGGAACATGATCAGTTTTACTGGTCAGAAAGAGACTGACAAATCCACTGAGACTATGGCCCTGTTAGATCTCTCATGGGAGAGATATACCTCGATCCTTGGCTTTGCATGAGAAAGAACTCACACCGAAGCCTGGTTTGTGATCCAAGTGAGTTTTATGAAAGTTAGAAGCAGTTTCAGGTTTTACAGTAAATACAACACAAGCCAGACAGGCCTCGGCACGGTTGCAGGACAGCCCCCTGGCTGCTACAGACCAGCTCGGCTGTGCTGCCTTGTGTAACAGCCGCTGGGAGAGAGTGCCAGAGCAAAGCCTCTGGTTTTTCAGCGACCCGTTGGGAGGTGTGGTCAACAATACAGGTCGACCCCATTGGCTGAATCAAATTCACCTGGCGTAGATGGGCCAATCCAGGTGCAAAGCCCACCTAGGTGTACCACCCTTTCCTGGCCAGAAGCTTGAATCTCTGAGCATGCGTAATTGAGACCCCAGTCCCTATGCTAAACTTCCTGTGTTAGTCTAGGTACATTAGAGAAACAAATCCACAGAAACTCATGGACAAGAGACAGTTTTATATAAAGGTTAAGTGCGCATCAAGAAAACATCCCAACCCAGGGCTGCCCAAGCCCACAGGTCCAACATTAACCCTTTAATCTATATGTCCTACACCAATCCACAAAGTCCTCCCCATCTCACAAAAGAGA